TTTTGTAGACACAATTATAGAACAATAGGTTGCGGTCACCGGTGACCGCTTGGTGTTTGACAGTTTAATTAAATTTGATTAAATTATCAGACCGTTGCAAAATCCTACTATAAATTTACCTGTTTAGACCTGGCAACCCGAGAGTTATGACTGGAATACAATAGGCAACCTAACGTTTCCATATTCTATGGGCTTCATACTTTCGATTGAAATGGAATTTGTTTAATAGTCAAACCGGTGAAACATTTGAAAAAATATATTTTTTAAATTAATAATTAGTCATGTTCTGGACTGAAATTTATTAGGCAACCCATACGGAATATAATTATTGACATATTAAATTGAATATAAAATAAGTTTCATCAAATAAGCATCTCGGTGAAGGTCGTTCAAGGCGGGATCTTAGACTAAAAGGATAAATACTTAACTCAGAGCCTTAACTAACTTAAACACAACATATTATACAAAAACATTTCCACCAAGAAGAAACAAGCACCTTCCTAATCAACGAACTAAACAAATCGATCAACAAACTAACTCGATGAAACTTACAAGATCGCCTAACAAGATCTTCAGCTTCCAGGAAAAACTATAAGCAGTTCCTACGTCCGGTCCAATACACAAAGTAATTTCGTCAATATACCGGTTTATTGCAGTACTTGGTACCTATCGACACAATCTCCTTCCCTTGTCGACAGGTCGATCTCAAATCACAACACACAAGCTTCTTATTGAATCCCAGAATCCCTATTATTTTAGGACCAACGAATTCGATCGAAATTCTTTCCGAAGTTTCTCGAACAAGTTTTAATGAGCGTTTCCTTTTCATTTAACTTTTTAACAATGGCTTTTTGGGTTAACGTTGATACTTAGTTTTTAGGGGTTTACAATTGTCGTAAGTATTAAGAGAGATTATTCATGTTTTCTTTGTTGAAATTAGATTGAAATAAAATCGTCTATCGTGTTGAAGGTACCTAGTATCGTACCTGTCGCGGAGAACCTAACGGGTAACAGGGGCTCCGGCTCGACGTGCAGGAGAAGGAATGGGGTGGTTTTTAGTCAAGTAAGAGTCTGACACTCCCTCCCGCCTCACCCAGAAGGGAGCAGTCATTCGATGATTTTCCGCCCTTAAAAAAAAGTATCGTACCTAGGTAATGTATACATTATGAAGAGTGTAGGTTATATTCCATTATTTTTGAACTTTCAGATCTTGCCACAACAGTTACGGCACTTTCAGCGGTTTAGATGCTCCACTTTATTACCTCATCAACAAGAAAGTCATCTCCAGTGGTCAGGTCAGTCTGATTTTTTGTTATTTGATCGGTCGACGTTTGGACTGTCTCGCCTGGTGGTATGGTAAGCGATAATACGGTCTACAATGGAGCCCGTCTGTCCATAAGCAACCTATTCACTCGTGCTTTAAAGACAACCAGGTATAGATACCCTTTAGGAAACATACGACTCTGGCAAAGAACTCCAGTCCCTAGCTGTTCGCTTTGTGCGAGTGGGTGGGATATCCACCATGAATTTTTATTTGTATTCACATTTATTATCTAGTTAAAATACGGTCCAATACTTACGTACCTATCAAATGCCAAGCTATTACAAATTCTTCATAGATGCTTATTCAATAACTGTGCAATATCTATTAGTAATGTCTATCTTATTTATACCTGTGTTGTTCTGACAGTGCATCAAAAACTTAGCTGATTTCTTCAGCGAAGGCTCGTGTTTGCCTGGAGTCGACAAGCCGGAAAACAATCCCAGAGGTAGGTTCCTATAACCGTATAACTACGTCACTATTAGGTACTAGCTCGCTGCAAATGGCTAATAAACATTTATTACCTCTTCTTTATTCCAAGTTCTGATTTATTGCCTAGATAGCTACGTGATAAAAGGATTTAGTAGCTACCTACTTGTGTACTAAACATATTGCATTTATTTCATTGCTTTCTATAAAAATCGACTTTATTTTGCTCAAAAAAACAATAGTTTTAGTACATTACGTAAATGGATAGCTAGGCTAGCACCTATCTAATGACCATTTTCACTAACCACCCATAAACCATCTCTTAACTAAAAGTTACCGACTTAACGTGATGCAGCACCTAAACTAACCTTGTAACCCCTTACTTGTTTCTACTGTGAGGTGTCACTTATAGAATGGTGAACACCCAAATGTTGTTAAATATCACCTATCTTAAAGTCAAAGTCAAAGCATTTATTTCAATTAAACCATAATTTGGTGCTTTTGAAACCTCAACAAATATAAAGTAAATAATAGTCTGTCAGTCAGTCCGTCAGTGAAGCTAGGTGCTCATTCCAAAATGTTGATTCGAATAGAGAAGAACGAGCAAGAAACTACATACGTTACTATTTAAAAAAAGTATGTTCTACAATGTCTCTGATACATATTCCAATATTGTAGGCTTAAGTGAGAACAATGCAAAGACACGCTTGACGCATTATCTTAGATGTTCCTTAACCTATCTACTCATGTTGTTTTGACCTATTAACCAGCACGTTCGTCATCGTTCTATCTCATATTCATTTTTACCAATCTCTTCTAAATGTTAAGATAAATATTATAAAGCTGAAGAGTTTGTTTGTTTGTTTGAACGCGCTAATCTCCGAAACTACTGTTTCGAATTTAATAATTCTTTTTTTGTTAGATAGTCCATTTATCGAGGAAGGCTATAGGTTATAAAACATCTCGCTACGACCAATAGGAGCCGAGCAGAGTGAGTGAAACCGCGTGCAAGTAGCTAGTGTTAAGATAAACAAGCACACGATGATTTTCACGTTTTCATTGGACCTATAGATAGGTACCTAACTACAAAGAAACTAAAGTACCTACACCTTAAAAGTCAAATTCAAAGTCAAAATCATTTATTTCAATTAGGCCAGAATGGCACTTTTGAACGTCAAAAAGCCTTACCTTCCTTATTCATGTTGGTATTGTTTCAGGCGATGACGTAACAAGACTCCGAAAACAATGTTCAGGAGACGGCAGCCCGGTGAAATGCCTTCAAGAGAACCGGGGTGACGTAGCATTTGTTTCAAGTAAGTACTTACAAAGCGAAATATTCAAGTTAATGGGTTTCGTAGTTCGTTTACCGCAAAAACGTGTTTCAATAAATAGGAGTTCGAGTTTACAATACCAGTTTTCCTTGTTTACGTCACTTGAAAGTAATTAAAGTTCAAAGTTGAATGGTTATCTAGGAACAAGAGATTGCATACAATACCTTGTTTAGTTGTAGTTTGAGATCTGTCTAATTAATTAGATAATCTCTTGAATCTGCTTAATTGACAAATTATACTAATTAGGGGCCATCCATTCTTCACCTAAAGGTTTTTTTTGTGTTTCTTTGACCTGCCAGATTGAGATTAACCCTCCATCCCCTTATTATTGTAGTTTTTTAACACAAAATACACGTGGGTTAACATTTTCTAGGTACAAGTACCTTTAAAATTTTGTGTAATTTGGTTAAAGTATAGAACTATTTAATAGTACCACATTTAAGGAGTTAGGAAGTGGTACAAACTCCACACTAAGCCCCGTTTTAAAATTAAAAAATCCCGCGTTTGACGAAAAAATAAATTCACTGACATTTTATTAAGACCCCCGTCCCCCATCATGAGGTTTCGTGATTTTTTGTCGAACCCACCTCCCCTAATTAAGCCTCACATTATTGACAGACGACCTCTTAGGTATTAAAGACGATTTGATGGTCCGATTGAAGATTTAACATTTGTAGTGTTTCTACAAATTGCCTCGTTGACCGAGCGGTCGCAAGTGCGACTGCCAGGCAAGCGGTCTCGGGTTCGATTCTCGGGCAAAGTATTACTGGGTTTTTTAAAAATTCTCAGTACGCACAGTACGGAGTCTAAAATAGTGCCCGGTATATGGCAATAGGCTCACTTTTACATGGGACTCATAACATAAATAGTGAAAAGTGGGTGTTACATGCGATAATGTGCACTTCTGCCTATACCTTCGGGGAAAAAATGCGTGATGTTATGTTATGATGTTAGTGTTTCTACTGCAATAAATCGACTTTTTCGCAGTAACTGGGCCTAATATAAATAAGGAATACCTCTTAGGGTATGAAAGTATCCACGTTTGCGTCTGACTACCTTACTCATAATATTTAAACCTACATCACTTAGCCTTACAATGGAACAAAACACACTATTGAAATCGTGAAAATCTAGCTACCTTTATTTAATAACATAGATCTACATATTATAATACCTAATTATTATGTAAGTCTTTTGATAAAGGCTTGTATGTAAGCAGTTAGCATGAATTTTACATCCGATCATTGTGTCCAGGTGCTGATCTATCCAGCTTCGACGCGTCAGAGTATGAGCTACTTTGCTTGAACCGTGAATCAGGAGGACGCGACAGCCTCAAACAGTACAGCACATGCAACATTGCGATGGCACCCTCAAGAACTTGGATGGCCGCTAAAGACTATCTATCAGACGTCTCCATCGCCCACACACCACTCAGTCTAGCCCAGCTCCTAGACACCAGAAAAGACCTATTTAACATTTATGGAGAATTCCTCAAAAACAACAATGTAATTTTCAATGTAAGTTTCCATTTCAAAACAATTGTTCATAATATTCATTCTGCCGTTCAACATTCAACAAAGTTTCGTATACAACTGTAAATACTATATTGTTTCAGAACGCCGCGACGGGTCTAGCTACAACCGAGAAATTAGACTTTGAAAAGTTCAAGCAAATTCATGACGTCATTTCTAATTGCGGTGTCGCTTAGTTTATCATAAGCATTAGATACTTACCCTTTATTGAGGGTTTTAGGGTATAAGTTTACTAACTCAATTAAATAAAGAACTATTTCACTTGCTGATAAAGTACTAATTTTTTTAATAAAAAAATTACAGAAGAGGAGGTCTCAAAAACAAGTCTGATTAAATAACTTTTATTTCATCACTTATATTGACAATAATAAATAAATAATACCGAAAAAAATTTCACTTTTTATTTTGGTCCTAAAGAAATGATTATAATGATGCTAATAACGTAGTGATCGCAATGGTCAGACCGAGCATTGCATAGCCGGAAGAGTAAACCTCTTTAATGGTAAGTCCCTTAGCCATGTCCCATACAAGATGTCTGATTCCGTTGGCAAAATGGTAGCCAACTGGTGCCGCAAGCAAGAATTTTGCAACGAATAAGGTAGCTGGAGATAAGTTGAGGTTCTCGATAATTGCAATATAGTGGGAGATGTCTTGTGGCAATACTAAGGCTCCAATACCCAGCACTCCAAAGTAACCCGACAAGATGATTCCTACAACAATGATTGTTTTTATAGCATCAATCGTAAAGTCAACATAATATTGAAGAAGCCATTTAAAGATAATTTAAAACAGAGTGAACCTATGATTTAGAAGTGTCTAGCACAGTTTAAAATCTGTTATTCCACTTTTAATTTTATTTTTTCATAGAAAAGTTAAAATATCTGATTTCATCTTGATTTAATAATATCATAAATATTCAATTCAAGGTAAACCACAACAGTGGAATCTATCTCTGTCACAAATATCACACAACATAAAAACACTTCTTTACTTGAATGCAATGCAATCACTATAAGATCATGTGATCAACTTTAAAGGTAACTAATTAGCAATCAAAACTATTCAAAACACAAAAACTAAAAGTGCATACCTGTCGCTCTGTGGGTAACAGACAATATGCTGGTCAGCTGTGGAGCATAGATGCTGAGATGAGGAGACATCGGCCGTTTGAGACGAGCGTTTCTATCATCATGGTGCTCAATCTTGGGCGGTTCAAATTTCTTGAACACAATTTTTGGAGCACCAGCCGCAGCCTGGGCATAATTTACGGAACCAAGCACAGTAGGCACTTTATTTATGCTTGCTAGCAGTGAACGGCTGCCCAATCTAAAACAACAATACAAGTTTAAGCACAACTCCTTTCCAAATGCCAACACTCAACAGCAACCTAACCCTTGTTACATAATTTGTCAACATACCTGCCGCAGTTGAAGAAAGCCATGTTTTATTCAAAGTAAATTATTTGACACACTCGTAGGCTTCTGTAATAGATATAAAGTCTTAGAATTACATGAAAAACTAATTGGAAGTACAAAAAAATAAACAAATTGGGCTCACCACTGAGTCTGACGATTTGAGCGAGTTGACACTGACAGATAAAACACAATAATTTTGACACTTCCTCGTGAAGTCGAAAACGTTTCGTTTATATCATTTCGATGTGGTACTATCGGCTATAATATCTCTAAATTGTCGCCAATATCTACGCACATATAAGAAATGAATACATTTCATAGTCTACTCAAAAAACAAAATATTTTTTATTTTCTATTTGAACTTAAATCTATTACTTTCTTAGGAATTTGAATAAAAATTTTGCGTAAGAAGAAACGTTTTGGCGGACTTCAAGTACTTTCTAAACACGTTTCGTCATACGAAGTAATTAAGTCGCGTCATGATTTTAAAGAGAAATTCAACAGCTATCTAAACAAATCTAATTAATAAATTTGAATGCGTAAGTTGCGGAAGTAGAATTATATTTGATTCTGCAGTGTGTCATATTTTAGAATATTGCTAGTCGTATTTATGTTATATCTGTACAGAACTAAGAAGTATTGATGTAAGAAAGAAACGTAAATGTCATCATTGCAGAAAAGCAATTATCTTTCCTTTCGTCGTATTCATTAACGCTAAATTCAAAATACAATATCGTGTGGTGTTTCAAATATAGGAAATATTAATAAATGTTACGTGTCTTAATCTTAACAGCTGTGGCCGCTACCTTTCGTAGCAATTTCGCAACTGTAGCTGCAATGAATTTTAAATCTGTTGACTTCGAAGTATTTGGCCGGGTCCAAGGTGTTTTCTTCCGAAAGGTTTGTATAATATTACATTTTGTAACATATTTGCTTTATGAAACTTTAATAATAGTATAGGTTTAAGCCATAAGCATTTCATAAGTACAGCCAACACAGTGTTGCGTCTGTTTTGCTAAAAATAGGTAACCAATGGAGCTATATGTGTACTAACTACCAATTCCCCGACATAATCTATTTTATTTTCTATTACTGAACCCTAAGATAACTTGAGAACCTTTACAAGTGGGGTTTTAAGGACAATCATTGGGTTTTTATGTTTTACTCTATCAAAGGTGTATGAAGATGGAAAATATTCTACATATTGATAGATAAAAAACTTAAACGTTATTTAGCCTTGTATGCCAGGATGTATTGTTAATTTTATAGGCCCCAAACATATTGAAATATTTTCAATTGATTATTGATAATTTGCTTTTATTGAAATTAAGTAATTTGCGTTTATTTTACAATTTTCTATGAACAAAACCTACTTTGAAACTTCTCAAAAGAAATAAAACCATCATTTTGACAATTTTCTGACTTTGACTGTCATTATAAAATATCAAAGTAATAAAATATTATCATTATTTCAATTAAATAAATGAAAAATATATAACATTTATTTTTCAAATAGCAGTCCCAAAATGGTGATGCAATCAGTTGATTTTGAAGTATTTGGGACAGTTCAGGGAGTTTATTTTCGAATGGTATTATTTTCATACTTAATTAATTAACTTCTATAGTCAGAATTTTAATTAGATTCCAGATTTGACAATTGCTACTGTCATTTTGGAAAATAATGATACCACATATAATAGTGTAGTGATGAACACAAAAATCGATAAACAATCAGTGTGTGTGTTTTATAATAAATGTTACAGAAAGTGACAGGATAGCGATAGTGATGACGGCGACAATTTATAAAATAACTTATTACCATAATACATCTATCTGTTTTATTTGTCATGTTCCTTCATGATTACATTTTTTTGTTTATTTCACACAAAATTATAAAAGAAAAGTCTCAGATCGTTAAGTAATCGTCAAAACTAAATTATCGGTCAGAAATATTTAATTTCCTGATATCCTTAGTTTACGAGAGTAAAATTATAAACGAGAAGAATCGATCCAGAAATAATGCATTTCCATATCGAATAATTACGCAACATCACTATTTAGTACTTGTCATAACGTTGCAACACTGAAATTGTCAAATCTGGAATCAAATTAAAATTCCGAGTATAGACTACAACTCTATACAAAAGAAAACTATGCTGTGCCTCACATTTGTGGCAGACCACTATTTAAGATTCTAAGTAGTCTTTTCACCCTGCATTAGTCTTAGACCTATGACCAGGAAATGTCGAATATATTTTTCGGAGTTATACTTAGTTATTATTTCTATATTAATTTATTTTTATTGTCTTATGTTGGTCGAGGTGACCTTCAAGCAATTGTTTCCTTTGTGGGTAAACCAAAGAGCACCTATCATTTAAGAATTTAATGTTGAAATTCTCAGTTATGGTTTATTATCTTTAGTCCTTATAGAATTTAAGGAAATTCTATGAATGAATTATAAGGATAATTCATGAGAAATTTAAACTTAAATTGACCTTGAAACCCTTTTTTTGTGAGAATGTGTAAAAATTGTATCCTGTCATCCCCGGGAGTGCCGCCTTAAATAGTAAACAGCAAAAATACAAAAAATAATTCCTAAAATTTTTAATCAGGAAATCAACTAAAATACTGATATAGTTTTTTGTCTCTAGTACACCAAAGAGCAGGCCGAAAAGCTGGGTCTTCGAGGCTGGTGCAAGAATACTTCGACAGGCACAGTGCTCGGACGAATGCAGGGACCGACTGACAAAGTAGAGGCAATGTAAGTTTCGTAAAACCATTCAAATATCTACTGTTCTTTTTTCAATTTCGTGTTGAAGTAGTTAGTTAAAGTTTTTGCAATCAATAAAAGAGTGAGAGAGAAAGCACTAACTCGTGACGAATTAACGGCTCCTGCAGCTGTAGCCAAATGCCATTTAGCGCTTGTCTACTTGTAGAATAGAAAACCAAGTTATATGGAATCGACGTAAATTGTTCGACGTAAATCGAGCAACTGTTCTCACGTAATGAAAACGTTCATCTTAGAGGCCACCACCTTAAGCTGTGTAAAAACTTATCGAAAAATATTCCTCACAGACACTTTCTGAGTAATCGCGTGGTCGGAGCATGGAACAGGCTTCCAGAATATGTAATCGCTGCACAGAATGTTAACCAGTTCAAAAACAGACTTGACAGATACACAACATCGAATTAACCACTGATAGAAGAATACGATACAGGCATTTATCAGTTGTTTCAACTGCCTGTCTGAATTAAATAAATAATAATAATAATAAAATTTTGACACTTGTCAGTGTCATCCCCATACATTTTGATTTCTACTCTCTCTGTGCTGTAGACAAGCGCTAAAAGTGGCGTTTGGCTAAAGGCCCTGTAAAGCATTTCTTACTCTTAATTTACACTATGGCCATTTTATCAACCTGAAAACAATTAATTACTTCCTATATTAGTTTAATAATGTGACACGGTAAATAACAATGAATTAGGTACACCTGTCGACAAACCGCGTGGGTCCGGCGGCGGGGCAGATTAAAACTTTCGAAACTTCTGCATCAAAGGCTAAATATCCCACAAAGAAACTGAGACTTTTCCCGTTCTCATTTCATTTTTTTAAGTGCCGAAAAGCCATGCTTCGGCACGAATGAGCCGGCTTGAACGAAGTGATACCACGGCCTCACAGAAAACCGACGCAAAACAACGTTTCCGTTGGGTTTCGTCGTGTGAGTGAGGTTACCGGAGGCCCTATTACCCCCTCCTCAGTCCCCGAATCCCCAATAATCCTCAAATTCCTAATCCCCAATAAGCCGGTAACGCATTTGTAACACCGCTGGTATGGTACGGTGTCCATGGGTGTCGGTTGCTTACCATCAGGTGATCCGTCTGCTCGTTTACCGGCTTAACCCATAAAAAAAATCGAAATAAATTACGGTTAGTTGGTTACTAATATTATGAATCAGAATGTCTGGTAATAAAATTAAAGAAAAACTTCTTTGAAGTAAAAGTCGTAAATTCTTCATTATAAAATCTCATATCATATCCCTCGGTTGAATAAAAATAAATATGAATAGGTATCTTATCATCAGAATTGATTGAAAGCCAAACTAAAAACTTATAAAGAAATGATGGCTTTGAAACAATATTGGGAATTACTCAGACATTTTACGACGTCACTGCTAGCCTTGAAAAAATTTGAGCAAAATTTTCAATTACAGCTTACAAATAAGATGGCTTAGTTCTCTATTTTACGGTTAAAAATCCCGTGACATGGACAATTAAGCAGACAAAAAATGCAATCAAGGGCTTGACAACACCATGCGGTGAAACTCGTTTAACAGTAACAATCAGTAACCCTAAACTTGGAAACTTGGTTCAAATAGATACGTTTACAGTAGGTATTACAGTAAATGTTTAACTTTTATTCACCGACGGTTTAATACCACTGTCAGAGAGAAACCTAGCAACTCGTAATGAATACGAACCACGATTCATTACAATGGAGACCAGCGCGCAAATTAAACTCAGGGACTTTGTAATTAGTTTTCTCGTACCTAATTTCTAGAAATTTTCCCTGTCTTTACAGGATGCACTGGCTGAAGACCACTGGGAGTCCCAGTAGCAAAATAGAAAAATGTGAGTTTAGAAACCAGATAAATATCGACGATTACACCTTTAATAATTTTGAAATCCATCGTGATTAATTACTTCCAAGTACTATACAAAGTAATTTCAAATTGCAATATGATAAGCTTATAATTTCATGTTTGTATTATATCATAATGTGTTGGGATATTTTGAATACTCGGCCGTGTTAGGTACACGTACACACACGACCGTAATATCGTATTTGTAATTTATTTGAGTTGAGACTAACTATAATACACTCGGGAATTAACCCAAGTTGTTTTAATTCAAACCCCAACATTCACACTTTAATATATTAAAGTTTATTAATTATGCCGTGTACAACATGGCAAATGGAACAAAAACTCGGCGGGAATTTTTAATTACATTTAGCCCTCGCGTCAACCTCCATCTCGCAAATGTGCAGAAAACAAAAGCTTATCTCCAGAGACCGTAATAAAAGAGCTCCACTCACTCATTACTCAAGTAATCAGTAAAAACTCTCAACTCCCTGTAAATTCCATTTTATCAAATGCTGATGCCACTCCAGACAATCTAATCTCACGAGCGAGGGACTAAGGTCAAAATGGCAGAATTATGTCGCCAAAGTAAACCGAAATTCCTTGAAGGTGAAACACGTAGATCGTAATGTATTAGCAAAGTAAACAAAGCGGCAAGCCTCTGTCTTATTCGGCAGAATACGCTATTTGTCACTCAGTATCGACTTACGAAAATAACTCTGGACTCGATGAACCTACAGGTGGTTTTGTTTCATCGTTTCAAGTGTTATTACTTGATAGAGTTATTTTTGTAGTAGGTAGCATACCAACGCTACAGGTAACATTATGGTGCTCGGAGAGGTGAGCTTATAATTTTTTCAACACGCGATAAACGTGGGAGAAAGTATTAAAAATAATGTACCAGGGTCGCTGGTTGAATGAAAAAGTTTCTCGCGAAATATGTGCCTTGGGAGGCATCCCATTAACGCTTGAAAGACTTTCAAGGTTTATGCTCTGTTGGATTTTATATGAACCGCTTTCATTTAGATATGATGACTGATGGCTGCCAATATGTTTTACCATGTTGAATATTCACGATGTGAGCGCTGAAACACGAAATTGTTATTGGCACCAAGCCGGATAACAATAATCTAATTTATTAAGTTCTTAAAGCGCGAAAACAAATATAACCTTCCGTCGAATCAAAGAATTATAGGTATACCATCTGTTAGCTAACAATAGACGTCGACCTTGAAGGCTTTTACGGAGGAGTTTTCCCTCGAAAGGGTAGGAAATAATTACGTTCGAGTCAGTAACCCGGGCGTGCGTTATTGATGGGCTCGCGCGGCGGCGCCGAGACGCGCGGTAAGTGGGTCAGGGAGGAGCGAGGGACGCGCAGTCGCTCCGACACTGCGCCCTCAACCCTCAGCCATGGCGGACGCGCCGCCCGAAGTTCTCGAGCTCAACGTGGGCGGCGTGCACTACGCCACGACGCGCGACACGCTGCTCCGCGAACCCGACTCGCTGCCCGCTGCCGCGCTGCAAGATCCCGACCACCCGCGCGATGCCCGCGGACGCATTTTCTTCGATCGCGATGGGGTTCTCTTCCGTTATGTTTTGGATTATCTCCGAGACGGCGGCCTCGTTCTCCCAGAGTGCTTCAGAGAACATAAACGTCTTGCTCGTGAAGCTAAACACTACAGATTGCCAGGGCTAGAAACCGCAGTCCGGGATGCAGACCCGCGTCCCCCAAATCGCGAGAAAGGCTGCATCACCGTCGGCTACCGAGGCAGCTTCGCATTTGGTCGCGACGGCCTGGCCGATGTTAAGTTCCGCAAGTTGTCACGTATCCTCGTCTGTGGAAAGGTGAATCTGTGTCGTGATGTGTTTGGAGAAACCCTGAACGAGTCTCGAGATCCAGACCACGGTCTTGCTGACAGGTACACATCACGATTCTTCTTAAAGCACTCGTTCATTGAGCAAGCTTTCGACATGCTGCAAGAGAATGGCTTCAAGCTGACTGCGAGCTGTGGCAGCGGTACCGCTGGAGGGGCTGCCGAGCTCAAACCAGGAGTGGACTCGGAAGAAAATCGTTGGAACCACTACAACGAATTTGTATTCACGCGAGAGTAATGGTGCGCTGTCTCAGAATGTGATAATCATCTGCTGTTGAACGGGGTGAGGCTTAATAATATTTCAGTCGTTAGAAAATGTTTAAAAGCATTATTTTTATAATGCATCTCTCTTGTATCCGGAGTTAGAAGTATCTAATGTAACGTTGAAGTTCTCGTGGGTCGTTCGCAATATTTGCGTAAACAGATAAAGCTTACTGTAAACTTTTCTAGACATTATGAAAATGGTTTCCTGACCATCGCTCATCTGAATGGTCGCCAGTAACGAGAATGATAGAATCGGCAATAAGCCGTGAGTAAATTGCAAAGTTCAAGTAAATAAATGTTTAATTATTATGTAGATAAAGAAACTTAAACTATAATCATGTAACAAATAGGTAGTGTTAAATGTAAAAATATAAAATAGTAGTTTATAATAACCTCCTCTAGGGCTAATTTCGTGTACTGTGTACCTATTTCTATCAAGTTTTTCAGATTATTTTATATCGATTTATAAATCAATGTCTAATGTATTTTCAAAATACTGCGTGGGCCATCGATTTTGATAAAATGAAACATTTGCCAAATTACGATACGACCGTCATGAATGACGACGTGACAGTAGCTCTGAGTTACTCGGCTCGTTTGTTAAATATTTAATTGTTCACTTCGGGGTACATTGTACCGTGTGATGTGTTGTGATGGATAAGTTTCCCTTCCTCGTCATGTAGTTTTAAGTAAATTGGATTTCAAGTGTAGCAAGTATTGGAATTGTGCGCGAGTGAAATGTACCTTAAAAAAATAGTATGTTAATAGTTGAAATATTATACATCTCAAGAGAATATAAGATTGTAGCGAGAGCGTAAAATCTTGAAACTTTTATATAGAAACTTTAAGTGGTAATTATGATTTTATCGCGGAATAAAAATTATATCGGAAATATTGTCACGCGCACGGCTAACTTTAATCTTTTACTGAAGTATTCATTTCTATGTAATCCCTGTTAACGTTTCAATTTCCATATTTTCCTGCGGTCTTGAGTTTTCTAATGTTGCTACGTCGAATTTAAGCGATCACATCCATATCACTAGAATACCTATATTAGATATTTTAAGCTGAACTTCCGAAATAATCTTCCCGCTTAAATATGTAGGTAGTCTATATACCGTAGCCAAATACCTCAATGGATGATGGGATGACGGGTTGAAAACCAATACAGAATGTGCGTATGTATGATATTCTCGTTTGTATCAAGAAAATTATAGAAGTGACGACATAAAACATGTAAGTCGTTGATTATGCGCTTAATAATAATAAATAATAGATAAGTAGTTGCCATTATTATTATTATATTAAATAAATAAACAGCTGAACGAAATATTGTGACTAATATTTTAGTCTTTCCAAAATATTCAGATGCATTTCGTTCATTTTAATTCATCATTTTCAGAATAAATGTTTCTCGTTTTGTAACTGTTTATTAATTATGTGGCGTATTATTATCATTAATACTTAAACAATATTTTTAAACTTTCTACTACAAATTGTATCTACTATATTCATTAAAATATTATTGTAAGTCAAGTTATATTTTAACCAGAATCAATAAACTTATCTAAGTAGAGATTAATATACCAAAAAATATGTTAGAAATATATTTGTTTTGTTATATTAATTAGTTACTGTGAGATGAAAAATATATTTATTTGAACTTTATGTAACGGAAACTTTAAGAATCCGTTGTTATTGTTATCAAAATATTTTTTATTTATTTGTCTGGAGAAAAAACAGTGTTGGACCTGGACTCGGAAACTATTGTAGGATTTCTAAAAGAATAGTTTTGAGAATAAATTTAGTTAAAAAATGTATTTTGTATTATTTCTTGTATTCTACCTTATAATTGATTACCCAATTTTAAGTCTGAGCTCAGGTAAAGAAGCTACAGTACAGATCTAAAGAGCTATTCCTGCATCGAATTTTTTCTACCAGATATTCAAAGAAATTTTGTCACATAGTATTAATAAGTTATTAAGTTATTTTTTAATAGTGATGCTCGTAAAACCATAGCCATATTATGAACAGAGCAAGTTCAGGTTTAACTGCAAAAGGAGTTTAACTCGTAAAAATAAAATAATTTTATTTATCTTTTAACCGTCGCTAACGGTCGTAAGACGGTTATGACCACAGATTGTAAACATTTTAGCCACAGATAATACATATTTTTATTTCAGTAACTGTTTAGTCTGTCTCAATCCAAATAATGTTAGACAATTTGCAAACATATCAAAGTCTAGCTTTATAAAACATTTTTGTGTACCTATATTACTGGACTTTTGACAGTGAATAGTTTTATACACGGCTAAGCTTTGAAACTACATTATAATGTTAGTTTAATGTTAATTAATCTTTTAAATAGGTACCTAGAGATGTTTTACGGAGTTTCTTATTGTCTCTAATTTTTTTTTTTTTTTTTTTTTTAAATCTCCTTATTTCCCTGCAATCTGCCCAGTTGGGCATTTAACTGGTGGTTAAGAGGTTCATGTATTGTGACATGTACGGAGAACGCCCAGTGGTGTACCCGTCTTCAATTATTGCATCCCTCAAGTTGGATGTTTTTGCTGAGACAGGAGTAGGTCCTGTGGAGCTCTCCTTTTGATGCGCTTAAAGGTGCTGGCAGACTTCATAAGCTCACTAGCAAGCTTGTTGGGGTGACTCCTTATGCGACGAGAATACGACTTCAGTTTGTTTATGACTTCCTCCTTCACTGGTCTTATTTTTAAGTCTCGGTGTAATTGGGTATTACTTATATACCATGGGGCATTTGCAATCATTCGAAGCATTTTTGATTGGAAGCGTTGTAAAATGTCCAAGTTTGAGTTGGCTGCCGTTCCCCAGAGTTCTGCTCCATATGACCATATTGGTTTTAATATAGCTTTGTAGAGGAGAAGTTTGTTGCTTAGTGACAGGTTTGACTTTCGTGCCATGAGCCCGTAGAGATTTCGAAGTTGTGTACTTAGAGCTTTCCTTTTAGTGAATATATGCTTCTTCCAAGTTAATCGTTTGTCCAAGTATATTCCCAAGTATCGCACGTCGTCCAGCTGAGGAATTGTTATGCCATTAAAAACAACTGGGGGACATGATGCATGTCTGAGAGTGAAAGTTACGTGTACAGATTTGGATTCATTAGCTTTTATTCTCCAATCCTTTAACCAGGCCGAAACGTCATTAAGGCTTTTTTGCAGCATGTCGGACGCTGCCACGGGACAGTCGTGTGCAGCAATAAGAGCAGTATCATCAGCGAATGTCCCTACGAGGACCTCGTCGGAAGTTGGTAGGTCAAAAGTATATATTAGGTATAAGATAGGACCCATTACGCTGCCCTGAGGAACACCTGCTTGGATTTTATAAAGATTACTTCTGGCTTCTCCATGTTTTACATAGAAGTGTCGTTGTAGGAGGTAAGGTTGTCTCTAATTAGAGGTGAAGTTTTTTCCAAGAAAACTTACAGTTTGTGAAATAGAACAGTAGCTCTATTGATTAAACTAAAATCTGAATATATTATACATATCAAAAAACAGCACGTCTTCAAGCGGGTCAGAAACCATCTAAAATGTTCAAATTGATCGGGGAACGCTACTACTCGATCTCTATTATACCTGAAATCTCTTAGTCGGCCCTTGAGAAAAGTAGGGTTGCTAGACTAGTACCAAATGAGAACTGCGAAAACCAGTGATCCTGTGCTGTGAGCCAAGCATCAAATCTGTACTTTCCCAACACATAGGCTTCTACTAAATGTATTGTGTACATAAAGTATTATTTTGGTAAACAAGACAATTACAAGCCTGTTGCGTACACAGATGACAGAAGTTTCTTTAGGACGCCTCCGTTTAATATTTTACGGGTCGGAAATAAATAAGGCCTTCTTTGACACTGAGTTACTATTTACGAGAGAAAATTTTGGAGCTTTAAGAAACTGGGCACTAAAAGGGATTTGTCATAGGTTTAATAGAAACTATTTAATAAATTAAATTGAACAAACAATAAATATTTATGAAACTTACCATTTTCATGGCGGAATACGAATTATTTCACTTGATTTTCACTTTTGTGAATCATAAACCACCAGGTATAATTTATCTATTAGTCGATTAATTTGCCTACTACAGATAGATAGATCTATAAGACAGTCTCATCTTAGAGTAGGTATAGATACAATCGCTTATGTTATCTGAGTTTAATCAACTTCAGAGCAATATAAAACATTCTCTCTCGCACAACAATCTGCAATAATAGTTGAAATCTGACTACGTATTGTGCTGCAAACGCTGGGATATAAAAGAGTTTCCTGCATAGAAATGGAACAAAGACGGCTCTATCTACCTAGTACATAGGAAGCTGATTGCTGACCCACATCTATTGTTTGCACTCAATGGTGACAATCGCTTGCATCGATGTAGATTTGTGTGATAGGATATAAAGTCTGTTTTGAGATTGATTCAAGATTTGATTTAGCGCAGTGGCTTAATCTTTTTTTATGGAATACGAGGCAAACAAGCGTCTATGTCGATGGATCACCTGATGGTAAGCGATCAGCGCCGTCCATGGACACCCGCAACACCAGAGGAGTCACAGGTGTGTTGCCGGCCTTTTAAAAAGGAATACGCTCTTTTCGTGAAGGTTGGAAGGTTAAAGGTCATCTTCTAAAAATGTTTCAGCTGTTAAAATACCTCTAGTTAAATTTATAATCTTCCTGGTATAGTAATAAGTGAAGTCACCGATTCTTAGTAACTGGAAATAACCGATCAGGGATGTCACAGTAATAGTTTTAAAAAATTCGTGAATTTGTCAAATTCTGTAGCATTGCATTACGTGGCTATTGTTCAAAACTGCACACAATTCTAAGTTATTGGTTGTTTTCTATTTTGTCCATCTCTGAAACTTTCACAAAGAAAATGGAAGTCGTATTGTGTAGCGAACGCCCACTCGAAATGTTTAAGTGACAGATTTCAAGGTTCAAAACAAAGAGAATCCAAGTTTCCGTCCTACTAATAATTCGGACACAATCATAACAATCTAAGAACCTCTCCTAGCAAAATAACAATATTAAGTGGATCTAATACATAGGAAATCTCTGCCCTTAAGTCGATCATCGGCACAATTAAGTGAGGAAGGGGACAGCCGACAAAGGAAGGAGTAACCCTCGTCATTCTAAGGATCAAGCCTGAATTATTCCCCTGTTACCCAATAATACCTGACAGAAGTAAACGTAGTACGCTATAAAATACTCTAGTCGGAACGAATTGCCAGTTCCAAATGTTCCAATGTTCAAAGTACGGGTTTCTCAGAAAAAATGTATTTGTGGGAGACGTGGTGCGTGTTTGTTTTAAACAATAATTCTTTCTATTTGATCGTTCTGTTACTGTTTGTATATTCATAACGTTTCGTCACTGTATCGTGTATGTATCACCAGCGCCCGTTTTCAATAATCTGCTAGCTATCTATTGGATCCTTTCTGGAAATAGATTTTTGCGTAGTTTTATTGGCAGCTTATTTATATGAAGGTATAGGAGATGTAGGTCGTCCAATTCCAGAACTTGTATTGCAGATTTTTAGTGACACCCTTTAGAGATGAATAAACTATCAAATTATTTATTACTTTCCATAAAATTGATGCAGGTTGTCTTAGCATTTTTATTGCCCTCAACTCATGTTTAAATGACCTTACAGACACGCCTACGTTGATGCAAAAAATGATTTAACCCAACTCAAAATGTCTACGTGTCACCGTGACCACAGAGTATATTTTCTGATATACGGTGACATAAAAGGCTCTTACGTGTGACCTGTGCCACGTTACGCAATTGTTTTTAGACGATACATAAATGGAAACTCACGTGAGCGGCAAAGCTATTTCTGTAAAATCTATTCTGATATTAATTAATCAAGGTGACTCTAATTATACCTTCTTAAAGTTTAATCTCGCAGGTGTGGGCTGTTTGTAATTAAGGCAATTGTGGTTCTGTAGGTATAAGTACCTTTGTAAGCAAAGCACCAGGATTGCTATTTGGCCATGGGTAACTTTCAAACTTAATTTTGAGTATGAGATTTTGAGTTACAACTTTCAAAATAGTGACCGTGACTATCGGCATTGAACTACACAGAATGCTGTTTTTTTTGGTATTATCTTCTCTTCTTGTAATATCTTTTGATTTTATTTTGTTGCGGCAACCAAGATAGTTATTCATGTCCCTGGGATGCGCCGGACTTCAATGTTCCGTTGTTTTTCATGGTTGTATCTACTTGTAAATCCTGGCTTACAGGAATTGCAGCGGTTTTGGGAGGTTGTGGAAGGCTTGTCCCATTAAAAAATAATGAATGTTGCAACTAAAACAATCTAAAAACAATTAAAATTACTTGCAACAAAAAATAATTTCTTCTCTCCTACAGTAAATAGTCTCAACGAACATAACTATATTTATTTTCCTGCTCAAGTGTATCCGCAAGCAATTCTACCAATATCCGTGGTTGGGTACCCACTAACCTGTAAGGTTCATTGGACTAATACCCCTTTGATCACGAACTCTAAGGGTATATTTACTCAAAATTATTACCGGTCTCGTTTCAAGTCTCACAACAGTATCGAGTTTACCTCAGTAAGCAATTTCTGACATATTTAAGACCCGCTGAAATTACCTTCCTATATGTATGTTACTGTAAGTACTTTCCACTTGACGTTTCTTGTGAGTTGGTGTATGCCTTCCTGTAAGTGCGTCCAGATGGCTGGTGTACGTGTCATGTTCGTGAACGGGCGCTGTCAAATGAGACTGGTCAGCTCCAGACTGTATTAAATTTGTTGTCCTCAAGGTTA